CCCCCCCCCCCCCCCTCCCCATGGGAACGGGAGAGGAACTCGGCCACGACCATCTGCGTCCCCGGCCTATGGACCACCCTGAACTTAAAAGGCTGTAAAGCCAGATACCAACGGTTGATCCGCGCGTTGGCATCCTTCATGCGGTGGAGCCACTGGAGGGGAGCGTGGTCCGAGCAGAGGGTGAATGAGCGCCCCAGCAGGTAGTACCGCAGAGCATCGACACCCACCGGATGGCCAGGCACTCCCTCTCCACCGTGCTGTACCTGGCCTCTCTGTCCGATAGCGTCCGGCTGATGTATAGTACAGGGCGGTCGACACCCTGCACCTGCTGGGACAGAACAGCTCCCAACCCTCTGCCCGACGCATCAGTCTGCAGTGTAAAGGGGAGACAGAAGTTAGGCGTGTGGAGAAAAGGCTCCCCACAGAGGGTCTGCTTTACCCTCTCAAGCGACACCTGACACTGCTCCGTCCACTGGACCGGATCTGAGGCACCCTTTCGGGTGAGGTCGGTCAAGGGGCTGGTCAGCTCAACGAAGTTGGGAATAAACCGCCGGTAATAGCCCGACAGCCCCAAAAACCGCCGCACCTCTTTTTTCGTCTTGGGTCTTGGGCAGGCCGCAATCGCCGCCGTCTTGTCCACCTGTGGAAGCACCTGCCTGCCACCCAAGTGGTACCCCAGATACCATACCTCCCTCCGTCCACCGCGCATGAGTCCAAGTGTACTTTCTTTGCTCTTTATGAAAAATCCTCCACACATCGCTCAAATCATGCATGTGTATGCACTGAATAAGCTTTTTACGTGAAAGCATGTGTGTCTCCAAATGATTCCTGTCTAGCTCATGTTCTGTGCAATTAAAATCTCCACCAACAAACAGATACTCTTCACTGCTACACCCATCTATAGTGACAGATAACCTATCAAGAAAAGATACTCTATCTGTTGCTTTTGTACGGGCATATACACAAATAAAGTTGAAAACATGATTTTCAAAAAATGCCCTAACTTTAAGTAGTCTACCCTGTATAATCTCCACAAAATCGTAGGAAATTGGATTGAAGTTCTCTGCAAATAAAATTGCAACACCGCCACTAACGGAGGTGTTATGGCTTAAAAGATAAAGCCCATCCCACTCTAAAGCCCAATCACTTGCATTTGCGGTGTCACTATGCGTCTCTTGCAGTAGAACAACATCGAGGCGCCTCACACGAAACCGTTCATAAAGCTCCGCCTTCTTCAATGGGTCCCTTGCCCCGTTAATGTTCAGGGAAGCAATGTGAACTGCACTCATTAATAAAGGCAAAAAGAAAAAAGGAAACTTAAACGTATACAAAAACATTGTTAACTGGGTTTATTTATCGGTGTTAGGACCTATCCAAAAAGAACATTTAACTTTGTGATGAACTTTTTCAAGCGGTAACTCTCTTGCTTCGTGACAAGACCTTTGGAAATGAACAATTTTGCTTTGGTCATAAATTGCTCAACATCAGGGAAATACTTATTAATCTGAAGCTTTTTAACGTGCTTGGTCTGGGACAGAAAATTCTTAATGTCATCCACAGTATATGATTGAGCAACAAAGCCACTCAATCCTATAGTGCAACTGGTACTGCAGTCAGAATCGAACTCGCTTTCCGATTCATTCAACTCTTTACTTTGGGTTTTACTAAGAACCTTTGCGATTTTAGTTGATTCATGTGCCTGATTTCGTCTCCTCTTTTGTCGGGACCGGGGAACTTTAAACGTTGGTCCGCCTCCATTTGAGAACTTTTGTCTTCCGGATCATTGTCATCTGTCTGACCAGCATCTAATACGCTGTTCTGGGAGATAGTATTGT